TTCCGGTGGGTAGCTTTCGGGTATCCTGAAGCAATACCTACAGAAAACTCAAAAAATTAATGAAAATCTAATGACTTCTCTTCTGTCTTCACATTTGCGAAAGTGTTCAAAAGAACAAACTACTCACCTCTCATGGACTACAATGTAACTAGAATATCCTCCCTTAGTGACCGTACCATCAACATCTATCCCATCAAATGTGAAAACTGCTCCCTTAGAGCAATGAATTTCTAATCCATCATCACAATATTGACACTCTCTACAAGAGTTAACATAAGTTCCAACTCCAACACAGTCACCAACTTTAAAGTGCTGAACATTCGAACCAACCTCTTTAATGATCCCAACAATCTCATGTCTGTCAGGCAGAGGAACGGCAAATCAGTTAGAAATAAGAGTTCAAATGCAAATTGGCATTGATTTTCTGCTTTATATAAATTGATGCACGTTTTTACCCAGGCACTAAAGGATACTTCGAATGTCCCATTTTGTTCCGGGTCCAAACAACATCAGCATAACAAACTCCACAGTATGCGATGTCTAGTGAAACATCATCGCTCCCCACAGCCCTGTTGAGATGTATAATCTGAGAGGTGAAGAACTATAAACAGGAACACAGTTTGCTTAAAAAGAATGCTGCGATAGAAACCATACTTGTATAACAAAGAAGTATTTCAAGGTAAAAAATTAAAACATAGATAAGCTTATAGTGTTGTTGTCATGAGATGAAACAAATTGGAAGCAGGTAATTGTGGCATAAACATTTAAAATTTTCAGTCGGCAGTACTATAAGTATTCTAAGTTCACAGAAAATCCAACAAGGAAACACGATGTTTCCAATTTATCTCTTTATCCAAGTAAAAGAAACACAAATTTTATTCTATTCCAAATGAGAACGTCTACTGGGAGACAGATTATATAGTGCAGGCTGTGCTCCTCAATTGTGGACGAAATGATATCCCTTAACCAAACTTAGGCTTGTTTCCTGGAAAGAAAATTTTACTAGACGCATACCTTCGGCTGAATTTGTATGGAGACAGAATTCCAGAAGGATCTCTAGCTGCCCAACCAAGACATTCCCCATTTGCATTTGTAGTTCCAGAAGTCATATTCACTGATCTACATATGAAAAATACAAAATGATATGGGTCCGGACAAGACTGAAAGGATTAAATGGAAGGAAAGATCAAAGTAATTCGCCACTTAACTGAAAGTTCTCGGTGACACAACCGAACCTAAGGATTCTAACAAGAAATATCGGAGCTCAATGAAATATACCAAAGACATACAGAGTTTCCGAAAACATGGATAACACCTTTCAAATGGAAAGATTTCTCCAAGAACTGAAAGCTGTTCCACAAAATACAACTTACGACTTATTTGTACTCATAGAGCATGTTTGGCCGCGGTATCGCGCTCTTAATACTGCTGAAATAAGCCAAAAAGAGTTCTCCTGTCTTTTAAGCTACGCCAAACATGCCTATCCGTCTAATATCGCGCTCTTAGTATGCACATAAATCCTATTGATGTTT